GGGGGGGGGGGGGGGGGGGGAAGCCCACACTTCTATCAGAGTTTGATCTTCATAGTGTGGAAGACAGGGAGGGCAGGGATGAACAGTACAGCAGAACACATCCAAGTTGTGTTGTTGACTTCCCTGGCTGTGTCAGAATGGATGCACTTGGACATGGTAAATAAATGTCAAGGATTTCTTGCTTCTAATATATATTATTGTCATTTGGTCCTGATGGATGATGTATACCGTTTGGCTGTAGGTCCCCTCAAAGAGGTGGTGTTTACTTGTAAGCTTTGTCTTCCGTTTAATAATCTCTGAAGATTTACACAAGCACATTAATGTCAAGTATGCACACAGTGAATGTGAGATCTTAATAGTTCCCAACTTAATACATAAGTGCAAAGAACTTTTAAATACATGATTGTATACATATAAAAGAACCTGCTTATATTTTGTACATGAACAATTAAAAAACAAGTGACAGAGAATATCCCAAGAAGTTACAGATTTGACCTCTTAATTTATGAATATTTTCACATTATTATGGCACTTTTTCCCATTTCTTATATTGTTCAAGTCCTTACAAAATTTATTTCCAGTGAGTCTTTGATAACTAGCTTCCTTCGACAGTGTATTTTTTTCTGACCATTAATATTTGTATTATGCCAACAGCGCTGTGTTTACATGGACCAACTTGCTTGTGGTGGTTGTGGAGTTGGAAGGCTCAGAACAAGAAGCATTGGACCTGGTCGCGCTGGTAACAAATGTGGTTCTGGAAGAGCATTATCTCATAGTAGGTGTTGTGGTCATTGTGGACCCTGGTGTTATTCCTATCAATTCCCGTGGTGAGAAACAACGAATGCACTTGAGAGATGGATTTTTAGCTGACCAGTTAGATCCTATTTATGTTGCCTACAACATGTGAAAACAGAAGATCACGTCAAGGCTAAAGCACCAAAATCAAGGGACTTTCCAGACAATAACATGGGAATTCACATTCTGTGTTTTTAAAAGCTGTTGAAGACCTTAGAAAAATGAAGATCCTAATCTTCACAGACCTTCATCTCTCAGATTGCATTTGCTTTCATAAATCCATTGTAACAGTTACAGCTGTTTTAGGATGGAGCGTTTACTGGAATTCCTGAAGGAAGCTTATCAGAACTATCACGGACCAATTTTTTTTTTTTTTACAATAATTATGAATGTCAGTACTTGATGCACTGCATAAAAGGACATAAATCAGGTTGGGGAGAGAACACCAGCTGTGAGGAGGATTCTTGGAAATAATACCGGAATTCGTGAGTAACCAGAGTTTACCCTTCATGTGATTGTTTGCAATATATTGGCAGTATCTGGGTTGGCATGTAACTTTCAGGACTGCACACATCTCTACCGTATTCTTTACTGTACTGAAAGGAATTTTGCACATATTGAGATTTAAAAATGCAGCCTTTTTATTTTAAATCACTGACTCATCCCTATTCAAAAGAAACAAATTCATTCCAATCCCAGATTCAATATAAGAACAATTATGCTGCTGTTCAGCTTTTTTGTACCAAGCAAAAACAAATACTGCAACTGTAACAAGGTTACTTATTGTGCCATGCTGGACTCTGTAATGCTATAAACTTTATAATAAAATATAAATTAATATTCAGTTTTAACTACTTGATGCAGGAGCTTTCACTGCTCTTGCTGTCGTAACTTCATGTAAAGTTGCTTGTTTTCACAGCATTAGCTATTAATTACTGCCCTACATAACGCCAAGTATTTGAAAATTCATTCTAAAGCCAATAGTCTCTGAATGATTTGTAGAAATGTTTACAAAAGCATGGTCTTACAATATGTTTTCCCTGAATATCCTGTGCTAAAATTTATGATAGTGACTTTTTTTTTTTCTTCCCACCATGGAAAAGATACTCAGTGTTAGTTAGCTTGATCTGCTGTGGTACAAACTATCTTTTTTTTTTTTTTTTAGAGTTGTATTTAGACAGACACTTTTTTTTCAAGCTGAAATACCCAGTTGGTTGAGTCACACTTGACTAATTAAGGTTTTGAAGTTTCTGCCTGATCTAATTACTGCAGTGAACCTAATTCAGAAAGAGAATGTGAAGTTATTCAAATACTTCATGTATTTGAAGGTAAGCACGGGACTAGCAAATAATTATTTTTATAGAGTTGTTTAAAGACTTTGAGCTACAGAAATTTTTTTTTAATAACGCATGAGTTTGGCAAAAGAGACAGGTTTTTCTGCAAGGCAATTCTGCCTGGATCAGTGCCTAAGAAAGATAGATGTCAGTCTCCTGATATGAGGATATCAAATTGACTCTTGGTCAAATAAAGTCTTCAACAAAAAGCTTTCATGTATAGTAGTTCTTTGCCCTCATGGTGTTTGACTGTGGTGTATCATACAGCTGCATACTCTACTATGACTGTAATTATGTACAGAACTTGTGTAACTTATTGTTTTAAGTACAGCAACTTCTAGCAGTGGACTGTGGGACACTCCTCATAAAAAAACAGCTGGCAAAACGAAAGAACTACCTAACCCCAACTTTAATGTTTTAGGTTTTTAGCAAATAAAGCATTGTAAGATTTTTGTATTTAGATATTGATGACAGTGAGACAAGTTGCCTTGTAAAGTAAATCTGAAACAAAAAGCACATTAAACATTTCAAAACGGCTCTTGAAAATCTGACTGCTGAATGTTGAAACGCTGTTAGGTCAGAAAGTTTTCACTTCTTTACTACAGAAGATTTTCACCTGGTTTGGACAGTTTAATGCCCGAAGGGCTTCTTCTGTAACATTTCATAAGTGCTTTACAGTTAAAGCAATCGCACATCCTCAAAGCCTGCATATTCCTGAATGTCATGCTCTCCGGGGTCTGGCTTGCCTCCCTGCCCCGCCCCACGTGTGGGTCCTCCTCTCCCACGGCCGGCGCCTGCCACACACCGGAGCTTTCTAAACCGGGGCCGAGGACTTCGGGGAGGTGGGCGGGCGCGCGTGTGCGTGTAGAACGCCCGTTCCCTCGGCACCGGGCGCCCTGTTTCC